GTGATGGGAGAGGAGAATTCATGACTAATACCTTCAGAGGAGCAGAAATCAACAAAATTTCTATTTTCAAACTCCTTTCCATGATCACTTCTAATCCTGACAATCTTGCTTTCTTTTTCTCTATGAAGCTTTTGACATAATTCTTCAAAGACTTCAAAAACATCTGACTTTTCTCTGATGAAATACATTTAGGTGAATCTTGAAAAATCATCAGCAACAACATAAACATACCTCTTTCCACCAAGGTTTTGAACTTGTGTAGGGCCTATTAAATCCATGTGAAGAAGTTCCAAAACGTTTGAAGTAGTCAGATGTTGGATCTTTGGGTGTGACATCTTGGTCTGCTTTCCAATTAGTCACTCACCACAGATTCTACCTTCATATATCTTGAGCTTGGGGATGCCTTTGATAGCTTTTGTAAACATAATCTTCTTCATACCTTTTAGGTGCAAATGACCAAGCCTTTGGTTCCACAGCTGGACTTCATCTTCCTTGGATATCAAACACGTGGAGGAACAATTTGATGACTGAGGTGTCCATAGGTAACAGTTATGCTTAAAACTGGCTCCCCACATTAGGACTTCATTCTTCTTATTAGTAACCAAACATTCAAACTCAGTGAAATTCACTTTCAGACCTTGATCACATAACTAACTTATGCTTATTAGATTAGCATTTAGGCTTTTGACAAGAAGGAAATTGTCAAGACTAAGGAATCTAGTACCGACTAGTCTTCCAACTCCCTTAATTTCACCTTTGGCGCCATCACCAAAAAATACATAACTGGTAGAGTGAGACTTAATGTCCATCAGGAACTTCTTTACTCTAGTCATATGTCTAGAACATTCATGGTCAAAACACCAATCTTCTTTAGCTGAAGCTCTGAGAGAGGTGTGAGTAATAAGTGAAGTAGTAACTTCCTTGAGAATCCATTTCTTTCTAGTTTTAACCACAACTTGATTAACCCTAGGCTCTGTTGGACCTTTTGGATAGCCATACAACTTGAAGCTGAAAGGCTTGATATGACCAGATTTCCCATAATAATGACATCTCCAATGGAAGGCTTTGCTTCCAACTTGAGTATTCTGATGTCTGGCACGATGTTGAGACATTTGTTTAGACATCATTTTCTCAGGCTTCCTTTTATGAGAAACAAACTTAGGTACATGGATGTCTCCATTCAGATATTGATAATCAGAGCCTATACCTCTCAAGTTTTCATCCCTCTTTCCAACTTGAAGAATTTCATCTAACATATCAGAATCATTGTTCAACATTCTTACATATTTGGTCATGTTTTCAAGTTTGGAAATCAACAGAGTTACCTCATCCTGCAGCCCATAAATGGTGGAAACATATTCTTCCTTTTCAATTTGAAGTTGAGAAATAATTTCCTTCTGCTTGTCACTTGTGATGCACAGATCTTTGTAAGAAGCAACCAGTTCAGCATATGAAGTTTCTTCATGACAGTAATTTACATCAAATGCCCACCTTCCAGTTAGAGCAATTTTAAGTTTAGAACACTAGTGCAGAAATGACTTTTTACATCGGGCGAAATTGACTTTTTACATCGGGTCTTAGTCTGATGTAAAGCTAGGCGATGTAGTAAATCAAAGACATTTTACATCGGTTATGTGGCCCGATGTAAGAAATACACCAATCACATCGGTTAAGTATTTAAGTCTGATGTGGAAAAAAATTTATAACTGTAAATTTTAATTATAAAAGGGTGTTTTTACATCGGTTGCAGGGAAAAACCGATGTAAAAGGTGGGTATTTTACATCGGTTGCGTGCCAAAACCGATGTAAAAAGTACTGGAGGAAAAAAAAATTCCATGCTGACACTTTTTACATCGGTTTGTTGGCTCACCCGATGTGAAAAGTACTGTAGGGAAAAAAATTTGCTGACACTTTTTACATCGGTTATTCCGTTAAACCGATGTAAAAGGTAGTTTTTTACATCGGTTTGTTGGTTCACCCGATGTGAAAAGTACTGTAGGGAAAAAAATTTGCTGACACTTTTTACATCGGTTATTCCGTTAAACCGATGTAAAAGGTAGTTTTTTACATCGGTTGTTTCATTCGCCCGATGTAAAAAGTACTGTTACGAGTATACATTATTTGTTTATTTTTTAGCTGTTCCATGTATCTTTTTTGGTACCTAATTTTTTATATTTTTCCAACATTACACAGACCATAATTAGGTCGCTATTTTCCATAGTGCACATCATATAGACCACATTTAGGTCGCTATTTTCATAGTTTTGCAACATCACATAGACCATATTTAAAAGTAACTTATGCTGTCCACACTTTTATTGATACCAGATATTTTGTATAATATCATCTTTTGATTATAAAAAAGTAAAATAAACTAATAAAATAACAACATGTTGAAGTTTAATATATTTATCAAAACCATAGTCTTTATTACTTTTGGACATATATAAGATATTGGTAAGTATTCATGATGAGTTAAGATGCCTAGTGATAATTAATGATGTTGATAATTAATTACTACATATACATTAATATATAAACAATGTTAATGTCTGTAAAACCCTTTCTTCTATGTCTCTCATGAACAATATTGTATGTTAGTGTTCTGCTACATATGATAGACCTATAACCCATTACTCAAGAAAACAAGTACAACTCCTTTTCATTATAATGAGTATTCCCTTGATTCCATAACAAACCCTTAATCCCACCCCTAATAAACTTATTAGGTCCACTAAACTTCACATCAATGCAACTATTGTTAAATTAGCAGAATTGATTTAAGAGAATAACAATGCAGACAGATTATAGTTTATGAATTAGGGTAAACTAAAACTTAATCTCAGGATTTGACCAAATCAGTTTTCATTTTTATGTAAAATATCTTGAATCTGTCTAGTACTATAAATATGGTGCATGAAATATCTTTGCAGAAAACTATATAGAATATAAAACAATAAATTTGCAAATTTAAAGTATATAATAATATACAATAATTAATTTTGATCCAATGACAGTTTAAAGTCTTATAATATGAATAACTTATGATGCCACACTTTATATGACTTTATGGAAAAACTTGCTGAAATTGAAAATTTCCAAATGTTCTAAATTTCTAATGAGGTAGTAACTTCTTTACTGATGCTAATAAAATGAATTTAGGGGTGTGTGTTGGTTCATTAGATAACGAAGAGAGGAGTTGTAGTTGGAAAATGAAAACGTGAAAAAGACTGATTGAGTGTACAGGTCAAATGTTGATTTGCTACTACACATGCATATCATGGCCGGTGGTCATCATTCAGGTTAAATTTGATGGAACACAAACTCATCCTCCATCAATGGCGTTACCATTTAGTATATAATAGACATATACTTTTATTAATTAATATGGGAACTAGACCTAATAAAATTGAAATAAATAAATAGAGAATTCAACAAATTATACCAATTTACTATTCTTTGGTGAAGAAGCTACAGGATCCAAAATGTCCCTATATTAACCCACCCACCCACCCACCACCACCACCATGCAATCCATTGCCTAGCTAACTCAATCAATTTTATTCTCTTTGCCTAGCTAGTTTCTCTTTCCAAGTCCCCATACTAAAACCATCCATAAAAGTTCATGGCAGCTAATCCTAATAGACTCTCTCTTGCTATGGAAAGAACTGGCCAATGGTACACAACACCCTATACTCCATTCTCTTCCATTTTCAAGCTTATGCATGCATCATGCATAGCCGCATCTTACACATAAAGGTTATAACAATGTTTCTGCATTAATTTAAGAAGTTAAAGGTTGTAACAATGTTTCTGCCACGCATAACCAATTTTCGATACTGATATACGTCTAGACAGAAACATGATTGAGATCTTGGGAAAAGTTGGCGAGAACATTATGGAAGTGATTGTCCATGCTGTTGGATCATGGTAGCCACTCTTGGAAAAGATCATGATGTGGTTAAGATACAGAACAAGGTCCACAATTATGAAAAAGAATAGACTGAACAACAAGAATCCACTCATTCCCTTGATACATTTCCATAACACCCAAGACTTTGCAAACCGTACAACATATGGTTCCACACACGATGCAACGCACCAAAACGGCAAACCACGTATAACAACGCAACACCAAAGACGCAACATGTGACAACTTCCTTCACACCAATATTCAACTACGCGACAAAACGATTTTTACGCACTTGATTCGTACATGACTCCTCAGCAGCAACAATTCTGCAGTGCGAACACTACAACATTTTGAATATACAGCAACACAAAAAAACCGTTGCAAAATCCAAAAAAGCCGTTGCCTTTACATATGAGAACGGTTTTTAGGGCGTTCTAAACCAAGGCGTTGTTTTAGCCTTTAGGAACGGTTATTTAGCCAACGGCAACGCCTTGTTCAGAGCCGTTGCTGTAATTTTATATAGAGAACGGTTTAGAACAGCAACGGACTCCGTTTTCAAATTTTATGGAATATAGCAACGTTTCTTAGCCGTAGCCTATTCTAAACCGTTCTAATAGAGGCTTAAGTTCATTTTTTCTTCATAGGTTATAGCAACGCCTTCTTTACTACAAACACACTTTATAACTGTTGTCAAAAAAATTATTTTATTTTATAAACCAAATAAATTTATTTAATTTTTAATAAAAATTTTTTTTTTTTTTTATTTTATAAACTTGATAATAACATCATTCACAATTTTTTTATATAATAATATTCAAATACAAATTTTAAAATGATCTTGCATTTAAAAAAAATACATGACATAATCCATTTAAATATCATAATGTCAATCATTGATTCACAATCAACAAAACATCTTCAAATTGCATATCGTAATGTCAACAAAACATCTTCAAATTACATATTCCAATGTCAATCATCATTCATAGTCAAAATAACATCTTTAATCTATAAAATTAAACTTAAACATCTACATCTTTACATCTACGTTTCTTCATCTTCATCTTCAAAATCTTCATTGATATTATCATTCATGACCTGCAAAATAACCCAATCCATAAATAATAACCAAATTCATCAATAAGTACCGTGTATTAATACTTACACCAGATGTCGATATGCTTGTTAATCTTTTCAACAAAAAACCCATCTGTCTTGAACCTCTTTAAATGGAATGCAGCAATAGAAGGTGTCTGATTCAACATAAGTTGTTTCTCCATAGAAACTTTTTCATTGCAGCCCTCACATTTAAGCTCTTCAGCAATATTTTCCACCATAGTGAAAGATTCTAAAGCACTTGACAGTGAATCTGCATTTTCTATTTCTAAACTCAAGTCAGTCAGTGGCTCATTAGTGTCAGAAGAGCGGCCACAGGTACAACATCAGAGCTGAAATATAAATACGAGAAAAATATAACCATTAGCAAACATACCATTCTAAATCAAAGGGAGACAGACAATTATTTAACAATGTATTTCTCAATTATACCTTGCTAACTAGACTTCCTCCAAAAACTTTGTTTACAACATTCTCGCCCTTAAAAGTTGGATCATTCTTCTTCAAACTTAAAAAACATGAATCAAGCTTAATGATGAAAAGAAAAAGGAAGGCCACTGTTGGTAGAAAACTCACAAGATTTGGATGAAGCATAACAATAAGGACTTGTAGAATGAATATTGGGAGAGAAATGTTGTACGGTTGTATGAATACCGGCCATGGACCAAAATTAATCTCTTTAGGAATCTAAACTCTGCAAATTAACAAAAGAAACATAATATCATTACTGAAATTTAGTAGTTGTGCAGATAAAACATAAAAGAGAAGCCGCCAATCTGCCTCAAACTTCCAACCAGAGGAAAAAAATAGCCTTCAAAAGAGTGAACCATTTAGAAAGGCTTACTTCCAATGCTGTAATCAGCTGCTCTTGTTGCCTGCAATCCTTCTCTGCCACTTATGCCCACACCAATATCTGTTTGTTGTATCATCCTTACATCATTTCCTCCATCACCAATTGCCAATGTTCTATAATCACATGATTTTAATATCTGTACAAGCTGTATCAAATAGTGGTATACAAGTCACACCAATGCCGTAATTTTTTGACAAATTAGAAACAATACAAACAGCAGTATTATGTTCCCCGCCTAGAGGAAAACAAAAAATATTTGGTCTTGTTTTGTCCTTCATCTTCTAATAAGTTAGTTAAATAGAACCAAAATAGAACAAGCCAAGAATATAACAGAGAATAGAAACTTAGAAAAAATGAATGTAAAATATAGCTTCTTAAAACAAGACCAGGCAACATAACTTTATACACCGGTACTGTTGTAAAAAAAACACATGTGCTTTTTGCGACGGTGTCACACGACAACATATAGCAGTCCTTGACAATACTTCCAGCTCAGTGAAAGCTTTGCGGTAGTGTTTAAGTGCTATCTCAAGAGCCCATCCATCAACCACAAAAGCCACATCCTGATTGATGGAGCTTCCCAATCACATGATTCTAAATTGATACAAGGGCACTAGAACTAGAACTAACAAAAGCAACTGGAGCATGATCAGAAGGTTTGCCCTTCAGGGTCAAGGAGCTCATAGCCCATCTACACAGTGACAAGAGTTAAGTCAGAACCAATGGGTTAAATGTGGAGAAAATGCCCAGCAGTTCAGACGCAGTTAAAGAAGACTGAACACGGAAGCCTCACTAGAAAATCAGACACCCTACGCAATGCAAAGCTCTTTAAGACTATATAGAAAAGGCAGCTACATCTGGCGCCTTTCTTCAAACCTGGTAAGTACATTTCCTAGAGTAGGCATCTACCAAAAGATATCATTTCACTAATTTATATTGTATATATATAGGAAACTATCAATCTATATCAACCCCAAAATTATATAGAATCTCTCGTGCCATACTACACTATAACACTATATTACATACACATGCATGAAAGAACGTGTACTACCAATAAGAACTAAAAAAATAAATACCAGCTTCCAAGCATTGCCAAAATCCACTCTGTATTCAACAACAATCCTCCCCCATTTTTGGCCACTTGTTAGGAATCCAAGAAAGAGTTAATTGTAATAGCCTTTTATTTTTCCTTCTAGAATTGTTTGTTATTCAAAGTTGTGCCAACAGGCACCTCTGTATTTGTTAGAGTTAGTTACCAAGGGTGTATATTAAGCCCTTGGGGAGTGTAGGACTAAAATCCTATATAACCTTGTGTTCTCTTTTTCTTATAAGTATAACCAATCAAAAAGCAGAATTCACAGAATATTCTAGAATGCATTTTTGTGTCTCATTCACCATTTCTAAAACTCTTGCACTTGTTGCTTAACATGTGGTCTGCATGGCCACACAAAGTTGGAGCAACTTACCCAAGTAAACTTGCATTTCTCTGTCACTCTCAAGAAAATATATTTTAAGTTAATAAATAAAGATGTACTACATGAAATCAGAAGTTGGGCTTAAAAAAGTAATTTCTGAAATTACATCTAATTTCTTCTCAAATACATACATGATACATTTAACTTAAAGAACCACAGTGTGTGTCCAATAACAGCCAAAAAGAGCCAGATATTGTACCTTTTCATAATGTTGCTTTGCCATCTGCAAAAATTGATCAATAGCTTGAAATGCCTTAGATCGAACATCATTGTTTGAACCATGAACATGAAAGGAATAACATAATCATGGCATTGAAAATGGGAAATACTCAAAGTGCAATGATAAGAATGATATATTTTTGCAATCTAAACACTGTCAAAACAACCAAAATAGCATGGTAGAGTATAGCACAAATATAAACATAACCACTCATACAAAAGAACAACCATTACGAAGATTTCAATATTCCAATAATAGTAGCAATGCAATGATTGTCACACAAAAAAAAATATAAAAAATAAAAAAAGCAATTTGATTAATAATAAGAGTTAACCTACTAAAAATAATAATTGATGTTTTAAATCAGTTTACAAGAGAACTATCTATAACAAAGGGAGTATCAGAAAATAATAAATCATCTGTGGGATATAACCTGTCAGGATCAATTGTGAGGACAACAACATTAGGAAGAATCTGAGTGGCAGTTTCATTGATGTCATAGTTAGAACTGGTGGCACATAAAGCCATAATTCCTGAGCAATTAAGATATAAAGGGATGAGAGGAAATACTGTTTGAAGAATTTATCAGTCCACAAAAAACTGAAGAAAATTAGTAACAGATAGATATGTGTGAACAAATACATGCTCCTCTAGCAGGTGGAAAGGTATCACGTAAAGCACGGACTGTAAATGCATTAATCAACACTCTTTTTCTTGTCTGCAAAAATAGTCCTGAAGAGTTAATTCATCGATGAACATGTGCTACTATCATGAAATCAAATATAGCAAACAATTTTAACTTGCAGATATCATTTCGGCATACCCCTTCGTTTAAGTAACTTGCAATATTTCCTAGCAAGATAGTAGTATTTGTTCGTATCACTGCCTCTTCATCAACCTACAAAACAAATTTCCAATCTTATAAATTCTAGAAAAGAAAGAAAACAACTATGATATGTTTGTATGCACGACCCTCGCTCCTAAAATAAACATTAGTTTGACTCCATTTCAATAAAAAAATTAATATTGGCAGTCAAATGACCGGTAAATTTTAAGAGTCATGAGTCTCAAAATGAGCTAAATGAGAGCGTTGTCTATTACTCTTCACTTCCTAAGACAAAATAAGCAACTAGCCTTTGCTCCCAACACATAAATCATTGAAGACTTGGAGCAGTACCTGTAACTTCGATAGATGCTTTAATAATGACCCAGACAAGGTCCTTTGAGACAGCTGCACTGATAAAGACAAACAATATTTTAAATAAAGAAACAAAATTGCCTGCTAAAGACTCATCAAATAGAAGAGAAAATTTAAGAGGGGAAATAAGGTCTTGAATTGTGAAAGAAAAATATATGTCAAGAGAACTTTGCCCCTTTAAGTGGATCCACCTACTTTACTTGAATTAGCTTAGGTTTGAAGTAATTTCAAAATACAAAGAGTCTCGAACCGAAAATAAAATACAAATTGAAAAGACAAGTAGTTGTAAGAGCATTCACAGCTGTATAATTCTAATTCCCAACCTCAAACACAAGCAACACCTCTACTTAACTAGCCAAGATAGTAGATTACTAAACATGAATAGTGATCAAAGCACTATCCTTTACCTCACTTTCAATTGAGATCCCAAAATTATATTAGATCTAACCACATCTTGGCCCCAAATCCGAACATAAACAACACTTTTAATTCATTTAGTTCTGCCTTAAATTGACATAATTAAAAATGAGGTCTAAATTATATATTCTATCAAAGCTTAAATAGAACTGATATCACTTCTAAATAAACTTCACAATCACCGGGGCATACATATACTGTAAACACTAAAAAATGCAATAAAACTGTCAAAACAAATTTGTGTCCAAATTTCTCATTAGACCAATAACATATTTCATTTTCCAACAAGAATCAAAAGTAAAGAAATATTTGATAACATGAATATAAACAGACGTACTTTCGGAGCCAGAACTAACATGGACTTGAGAGTAAGTTCCCTCAAAAAAGCAGATGTATCAGAGAAACCAGTAGCAACGTGAGGGTAAACCTGATCTCAAGAGTAAACAGTATTGTAAAACAGAATGCAGAACATGAATCTCTGTAAATTTTACAGCAACGAAACAAAAAAGCAGGGAAGTAAGGAAATTTAGACATCTTATCCAGACTATGTACCTGCTCATCAACAGCTTGAGCTGATAATTGACCCACCAAAATAACACAGGGCTACAAATTATAATCAAATTATTACCTTTTTACCCGGATGAACCGAAAACTCGCACACCGCTGAAAACTCGCGCACTATTACGTTTGAAAATTGAGACCTATGAAAACAAAACCGTTAGATTTGTTGGCAGAGAATAGAGGAAGTTGAAGGAGAACATTTACACATACAAGTTTGGGATGAATGTTAGGGTTTGAGAGAATCGTACGATGAAGAATCAATATGGGATGAAGAACAAAATGTTAGGGTTTTGGAGAAGCTCGTACGATGAAGAATCAATTTGGTATGAATGTTAGGGTTTGAGAGAATCGTACGATGAAGCTCGTACGTTAGAAGGGAACTGAAAATTTGGGAAGCTCGAACGTTACAAGGGAACTGAAATATTTGGAAGCTCGTACGTTAGAAGGGAACTGAAAATTTGGGAGGGAATTGAAAATTTTACTCAGATTTTGGG